ATCGATGTAAAAATTAACAAAACGTTAGCAAATTGAATCCAACAATATGTAAAAAAACATGATATATCACAACCAAGAGGATTTATCCCAGCAATACAAGACTGGATCAATATTTGAAAAATCAATCAATATAATTTAAAAACTAAAAAACAAAAATCAAATGATCACCTCGACAGCCACAGAAGAAACTGTCAAAATTCAACATGTATTTCTGACAAAAAACTCTCAGCAAACTAGGAGTAGAGGAACTTCCTCAACTCTGATAATGGGTATTTTTGAAAAGCCCACAGCTAACATAATACTCACTGATGAAAGACTGAAAACTTTTCCCCTTAAGATCAGGAACAAAACAAGGATGCTTGCCTTTACCACTTCTGTTAGCCACTGTTCTGCAGGTTCTAAACAGTGCAGTGGGGCAAGAGAAGGAAATAAAAGGCACGCAGATTAGAGAGGAAGAAGCAAAAACACCTCTGCCCACAGGCGACGTGACTGCCTATGTAGAAAACCCAACGGGATCTACAAAAAGCTACTAGAAGTAAGCGAGGTTAGCCAGACAGCAGTATACAAAAGCAATGTATAAAAATTATTTGTATTTCTATACACCAGCAAGAATCAGAAATTAAAATCTATACTACCGTTTATACTACCATCAAGAAACATGAAGTGTTTAGGGATAAATTTCACTAAAGATGTATAAGACCTGTACACTGGAACTAAACAACACTGCCGAGAGAAATGAGGGAAGACCTAAATGAAGGGAGAGCAGTCCGTTGTCATCAATCAGTAGACTCAGTGTTGTCAAGACGTCAATTCTCCCCACACTGATCTATGATTTGACATAACTCCAATCAAAATCCTAGTAGGCTTTTTTGTAGAAATTGGCAGATTCTAAAATTCATATGCAAATACAAAGGACCTAGAAGACCCAAAACAACTTTGAAACAGGATTAAGTTAGAGGGGCAACACTCCCTGATTTTGAGACTTCTTACACCCACACCCATATGGACAATGACTTCTGACAAAAGAGCAAAGGTAATTCAGTGGGGGAAAGGACCGTCTCCTCAACAAACGGCAACATCTGGAGCAACTGGACACCTACAGGAAAAAGACTGAATTTGGATCTGTACCTCACAACATATGCAAAAATTCACTCCAAAGAGATGATAGACCTAAATCCAGAACCTAAGATCCTAAAACGTCTGTAAGGAAATACAAGGGAAAATCTTTACAACCTGACATTAGGCAAAGATTTTTCAGATTGATACTAAAAGCACAACCCATAAAAGACCAAAGTGACACACAGACTTCATTAAAATTTAAAACTTCTGCTCTCTGAAAGACAGAGTTAAGAGAATCAAAAGATGAGCTGTGAACTGGGAGAAAAATATTGGCAAGGCCACTATCCGGTATGGGACTTGGACTCAGAATACATAATAAACTCAAATACTCCACAATAAGAAAATAACCCCATAAAAAATGAGAAAAGATTTGAACACACACTTCGTTAAAGAAGGTATATGGAATGGCAATGGACACATGAAAAGATGCTTACTATCATTAGGGAAATGCAAATCAAAACCACAACATTCCACTAGATACCCACTAGAATAGCTAAAGTTAAAAAGACTGACAACATCAAACATTGGCAAGGACATGAAACAACTAGAACTCTCATCACTGCCAGCAGAGACCCAAAACGGTGTAGCCATTTCTAAAAAGTTAGGAAACATCTGAAATATACACTTTCCTTATGACCCTAGAACCCACTTCTAGATATTGATCCATGAGGAATGAGACTATATATCCACACAAAGACATTTGTTAATGTTCACAGCAGCTTTATTCATAATAACCAAAAACTGGAAACCCAAATGTGCGTTAACTGGTGAAAGGATAACCGATTTGGTACGCATGCTGCCCATACCAGCAACAAAGAAACACACTATCACACAGGGCGCACGAGTCTCACCAGCACTCTCCGAAGTGGAAGAAGCCAGACTGAAAAGATTGCAAAATGCCTGGTTCCACGTAGATGAGATTCTAGGAGTGGTGAAGCAGACCGACAGACAGCAAATCAGTGATTGACTGCCAAGGGCTGGGGTCGTGGGGAAGACTAAATGCACAGGGGCCTCAGGGGACTTCCAGGTGATGGAAACAGCCTCTATCTTTTTTGTTTTAAACAATGGTTTTAATATTGCTTTTTTTTTAAAAGAATGGTATTTAACGATCTTTTTTTCTCTTCTTCTCCTTCTCCCTGAAACCCCCAAGTACACAGTTGTATATTCTAGTTGTGAGTGCCTCCGGTTGTAGCATGTGGGACGCCGCCTCAGCATGGCCTGACGAGTGGTGCCTTGTCGGCGCCCAGGATCCAAACAGGCGAAACCCTGGCCCGGTGAAGCAGAGCGCTCGAACTTAACCACTCGGCCACGGGGCCGGCGCCTCTATATCTTGATTATGGTGGCCATTACACAACTGGATACATTTGTTAAAACTGACTGAAATCCATATTATAGGTAAGTTATACCTCAATAAAGTTGATTAAAAAATAGTAAACACACAAACTTAAGACAAAGAAGGGATGTATGTCCATTAAACTGCCAATAGAAGTCTTCTTTGGGTGGTGGGAGTATAGGTGATTTTAATGTTCTTCTTTGTGCTTTTTTGTAGTTTCCAAAATTTTTATAATGTAATCACTTATGTAAACAGAAAAAAAATTTAAGTCTCTTAACAGAAATTGTGATATCATATTGTTACCTAAAAATGTAGATAATATTAATGAATGCTATTCATTAAAAACAAGATATTAGAAAAACCAGTCTGCTGGTAAATGGAATAACCAAACAGTAAAATATACTTGTGAGCATTTTTTTTATGTTAGAAATGGAGTATCATTATTTTAAGTTAAATGCAGCAAAATCTGTGTTTTAATTGCAATAATTAATCACACACAAAGAAGGGGGAAAATCTCTTTAACAAGTGAAACCATAATAAGAGTTTCATATATAACCTAATGGAATTGTAATAATAATTTGCTTCATATTTGGTAAATGTTAAGAGTCATGTAGCCTGAAAATAAAATAAAAATCCCACAACCACCAAAAACACTCATTGACTCTGGGGACATGCTGTCATAGGACCCCTACTGTTCTTGTCGGAGGCAGATACTTGGATTTTTCTTCATTATTGACTCTGAAACAATACAGGACCACACAATCAGCGTGTGTATCACATTTCACTGGAGTTGGATAATTGTGTTATTTGGACAACGAGGAAAAACCACCAGGTGAGACACAGGATGCTGGCCTTGCCATGTCTTGACATTCTCCCTGCCAAAGAAAGTCTGCATTTATACTGCAACCAGCATTCTAGCGCTCCACTTCCCCCACACGCCGCGGCTCACCTGGTACAGCTCCTCCAGGTTGTATCTGATGGAGGTACTACTTTGTATGGCTTTCACGGCCTCATGAAGCTTCTGCCAGGTGTCCTGAGTGTAGTTATCAGGCAATTTCGGTCTGTCTGTAAATCCAGATAGAGTCAGTGGGGAAAGGCATCCGCGCTAAGTCAGACATCTTTTAAAAGACATTCTACTTAAGGGGGCGGGTCTCCCTGGCCGAGGGGGTCAAAGTTCCTCGCTCGGCTTCCGCGGGCCCCCGCGGGCCCGGTTGCTGGGTTCCGATCCCAGGGGCGGACCTACTCCACTCTGAGCCATGCTGTGGAGGCATCCAACCCCCATCCGATAGAGGAAGACTGCCTAGATGTTAGCTCAGGGACGATCTTCCTCAGCAAATCAGGGGGGATAAAGCACTTAAAAGACATAGGCAAGGAACACAGAAATTAGGTTTTCCCAATACAAAGCACTGTATTTATAGATTCTTTGGGTCACAGACTGTACAACCATAACACCTTCGTTTTCTTAAGTACATTTAGTATTGAGACCTAAGATGAATATACAGAGCCAATATACACACCTTAAAGGTTTCTTTTCCTTAATAAGCTGACTTTACAAGCGTATGCACACGGCACAGTCAAGGCGCCGGGGGACGTGCAGGTACGCGCGAGGGGGCTCCCGGCGACGGCGGGGGACAGGGGGCAGGGGAGGACGGAGGCCGGCCGACTAATGCCGCGGGGGGGCCCGGGAGGGCGGGAGGGGGACAGGGACGGGGACGCGAGCGGACCGCCCCCCCCCACCCCCCACCCCGGGAGAACAGGAGGAGAGGGCAGGAGGACAGGGAGGAGAGATGGGGAGGAGTGCCCGGGAGGAGGGATGGGGAGGAGGGCCGGGAGGGGGACGGGGAGAAGGGATGGGGAGGGCCGGGAGGGAGTACGGAGAGGAGGGATGGGGAGGAGGGCCCGGAGGGGGGCGGGGAGAAGGGATGGGGAGTAGGGTTGGGAGGGGGTACGGAGAAGAGGGATGGGGAGGGGGACAGGGCAGGAGGACGGGGGGGAGGAGGGCTAGGAGGAGGAATGGGGAGGGGGACAGGGGCGGAAGACAGGAGGAGAGGAAGGCGGGAAGGGGACAGGGCCGGGGACGCGCGAACGGCCGCCCGCGGACCCCCGGGCGGACAGGAAGGGAGGAGGGGAGGGGAGGAGGGCGGGAGGGCACAGGGCCGGGGAGCGCGAACGGTACCCCCGCCGCGCGGCCCAGCGCCGGCCCGCACCCACCTCGGAAGTTCTTGATGACCAGCTTCCTGGAGCCGCCCGGCTTGGCGGCCGCGGCCGCGGAGGCGGAGGCGGCGGCCGCGGCCAGCGCCGCGGGCTTGGTGAGGCCGTTGGTGTGCCCGACCAGCGCCGAGAAGCTGCCCTTCCGCGGGGGCTCGTCGGCCATGGCGCCGCGAGGGGCCCCGCCCGGCCGCCCGCGCTGCCCCGCCGCTCCCGCCGCGGCCCGCCCAACCGCCGCCGCGCCGGTGCCCGCGACCCCGACCGCGACCGCGACCGCGGCCCCGACCGCGACCCCGACCCCGACCGCGACCCCGAGGCTCGCGAGCGCGGCCGCCGCGGGCCGTGCGGAAAGCGCCACGCAGCAGAAGGGTCGGCGGCGCGCAAGCCCTGTCGGCTCCGGCGGCCCGAGCGCCCACGGGCGCGGACGAGGCGTCCTCGCAGAGGGGAGGCAGGGAATGGCGGCCGGACCCCAGCCTTCCTCAGCCGGGGCGCGCCGCCATGCCGGCCGGGGCTCGCGCTCCCGCGGACGCTCTCTCTCCGGAACCGACGTGCGGGGACGCCGGGGACGCGGGGCCTGGGACGGACCGCCGGCCGGAAGTGACGCGTGACTGGGCGCGCAGGCGCCGTCCGGGACCGGCGGTGGGGGCTGCCATGGCGCACATCACCATCAACCAGTACCTGCAGCAGGTAGAGGTCGCGCGGCCCGTCGCGCGCCGGGGCGGGCTCTCCTCCTCCTCTCGGGCCTCCGGGGCCTCCGGGCCGGGGTCGGCACCGCGGGCCCGCGCCAGTCTGCTCGCCGACGGTGCCTGAGCCCTGGCCGCCGGCGGGCAGCGGGGCGAGGGAAGCGGCAGCCTCCCGGGTGTCGTGGGGCCGCACTTAGGGGCGTGCGGAGGACGAGCGGATCCCCCACGGCGCGTCGGCCGCCCCTAGGAGCGGGGCTCGGCCATTGTTGGCCTGAGCCCGGGCGGGACGTGGGGTTTTGTTTCGGACGGACGCTGGTGGGCGTAGGAGACGGGGCCAGCGAGCAGTCCCGCGCGCCCCGGCGCAGCTCCCGCGTGGACGCGCGCTGTTGGCCCCTGGGGGTGTCGCAGGGGCTTCGCCGGTACAGGCTGTCAGCGGCAGAAGCATAGTTCAGACACTGTTTATGGATTCAAAGCGCGCATTCTTCCCGCTAGGCTATGCCACTTCGCAGAACTGGAGCCGTGGTTATAAGGATGAGGAAAAGAGGGGGTGGGTTTAAAAAATGCCTGAAGGAAGCGTCACCACGACTTGGAGATTAAGAGTGTGTGGTTGAGGGACCGGGAGGAGTCAAGAATGGTTTCCAGGTTTCCAGCCTGGGCAACAGATGAGCAGAACAGATTTGGAGGAAAAAATCAGTTTAGTTTTGGACATGTGGAGTTGGAGGTGGTTCTTGACAACCAGGTAAAGATATCTAGTTGGCAGTTGAAGATTGGTTTAACATGATTGGGACCATTAGTTGCTCAGTTAATTGAGAAAGTTGGTTAAGACGGGAATCATGAAAAAACAGATACATGCTTTTATTTTAATTTGAAACATACAAATATACATTCATTTGCCAATCTTTTGATTGAAGCCTAAGACCTCTTCTTTAAGGATAGATCTGCCTTGGCTTTATCCTTGTAGTTAAACATTTTCCAATAACAGTTTGAAGTTGAACAAGAATATAGACATCTGAGAACCAATTTGAATACAGAATCTCTCTAGAATTTTGTTTTTCTTAATCCTTTTTTTTTTCTGAGGAAGATTTGCTCTGAGCTAACATCTGTGCCAATCTTCCTCTATTTTGTATGTGGGTTGCAGCCACTGCATGGCCGCTGACAAGTGGTATAGGTCTGTGCCCAGGATCCAAACTCTGCCCAAGCAGAGTGCGCCAAACCTAACCCCTAGGCCGTGGGGCCAGCTCCAGTCTCTTACAAGTTTCTTGCCCACACCTAATTCCTTTTTCTTTCTTATTGCTTTTTGACATTCTGTGTGCCTCGAACGGTGTCTGACCTGTGTGGATGCTCAGTCCAATTTGGTGACTGGATAAATGGTGGCAAATAGAAGGAGGTGAAGCCCGCCCATAGGGCTGGGTGTAAACCGGAGTAATTTACCAGGCCTCAGACCTCCTCAGTCTAGTGAGCAGTAAGGTTAGGATTCGTACTGGTCTGTCTGACTCCTCTGTTTCACTAGACTGCCGCTTGGCCCTGTTCCCTGTGTTCCCAGAGGAGCACTCTGAGAATCCCTCTTTTGTGTGTCTTGGTCGATGGAGTAGTGGGGCGGTGATGAGAAGCAGCACAGGGATGTTCAGTGCACGTTGAAAGCTTGCAGAGAGCCAGGCCCTTGTGTGTGGTTATCACTGCTGTTTTTCTAGGAGCTAGGTCTGTTGCAAGCCCCGTTTTGCAGAGAAGAGCAGTGGCTTTCCAAAGTCATCGGCAAGTAAGTGGCACGTTCACATTGGGAGTTCCAGCCTGAATCCATGCTTTTAACACGAAGCTTACTGCCTCTGTTAACCTAAGTTTCAGCCAACATTTCCTGTCCTAGTCAGAACCTGCCTATTTCTCAGTTCCCGAAGTATACATTTTTTGAATCTCAGTGACCTTGGAATCAATCTCAGTCAACTTGGAAACATCTCCATTCCTTATTTCACTCCTTCACCATACCTGCGGCCGGCTGCTACCTGTGGACAAGTGCTGTGTCTTTCGTTCTCCATGTGTTCTGTCATAACATCCTATTAGTTGTTGGGTCTTGGCTTTCATTTTACCCTCCTCATAGCTTAGGAGTGCTCCTCTCAGGTTTTTAGGTGCTGGCAGGATACATGCAGTTCCTGGGTCAGAGACCAAGGACCTTAGTACTCAGCATAGCAAGCAACATGGCATCAGCACGATGGTATTGCCATGGCCCAGAAGGTCACCTACACGTGCATCTGAGACAAACATGGAACTTGGGAAACCCACTCATTCTATAGCAGGCTGTAAGCGAGTCTACTTTTTGTCCAGGGTTGGGGGTGGGGGAGACATTACTTCATTTCTCAAGGTGTCCAGCTGCATAAACAGCCCTGAGTAACAGCTTGAGTGAGAGCCAGTGGTCAGGGCCTCTGCTATGCTGGCACACCCAGTGCAAGAGGCCCGAGGAGGGCTGTGTCCCAACAACCAGCTGAGCCGAGCTGTGCCCTCATCTAGTGAGGCCCCCTTCATTCAGTGCTCTAAGTGTCAGCAGGCTTCCAATTTAGTTTCTGTTTGGAGGGGACAGGTTGAATTAATTTCTCGTACATCTCCCCCAGAGGGGGCTCTCTTCATCATTTCGAGTATGGTTTTGAGGGCTGGTATTATTTTTTTAGTGTCCTTTATTTCATTCTTTTGTCCGTTCCACACACTTTTATTTCAGATGGCAAATTACTTTTTAAAAACTGTGTCTACATTAAAATTTTTATTTTCCTCTAACTTTTATTCTGAAAAGTTTCAAACCTACAGAAAAGTTGGAAGAAGTGCAATGAAGACGTGCGTACCCCTTACCTGGGCCAGCAGCCTCCCTTGTCCTGTCTCTGAGCACGTGAACCCCCTGAAAGGCAGTCACTGACGCCCTGCCCCTTGCTGGGATTCACCCAGGCCAGGCTCTTCCTCCGTGTACCTGCTGTCCCCTTAGTGCGCCCGAGAAATTGAACGTCAGTGTTAACCTCAGTACTTTCTAATATAGAATCCGTGGTTTAACTTCATGTCCCCCCAAAGCGTTCTTTAGAACTTCTTTTTTTAAATCCAGGATCCACATGCATTTGGTGGGTTTCTTTCTTTGCTCTCTAGTCTTTTATCTAAGCATCTTGCCGTTTTCTGGGAGGAGGGGGTCTTTTGTGACATTTAACCTTTTTTAAATGTCCAGACCAGTTGACTTGTGGATGTCTCAGTCTGCCTTCATTTGCCTGTTTCCTGGTGGTTAGGTTCAGGTCAGATTGGCAGTAGGTGTCATGTGGCCTCACTCAGGAGGCGCGTGTTGGTGACACTGACTGGGTGGCTCGCTGGGAGAAGCTGTTAGAGCTGCAGTGCTAGCTGCCTTTCCCACTGTAATTAGCACAGTCTGGGGTCATTCGTGGCCCTTTCCCAAGGCAGGTATTATGTTAACGTCTGCCAAGTGGTGATTTTCTATCATTCTTTCTACATTTTATTAACTAGTTTTTCATCACTTAAACATACTTTCCCCTGTGCCCCTCTTTTAAAAAGTATCCTTATGGATTATTTTTAATGCCAAGTTATAATCCAGTACCAATAGTAATATTATCATTCTTTTTGAAGCTCAAATTGTCCCAGATTTGGTTTGAAGGAGCCCCTTCAAACTGATTTCTGTGACTTTTTGACGTGTCTCCATCCTTTGACCTCTGTCTTGCTTTCTGGCACAATAACGTATCTGCTCCAGGCTCTTAGTTCTTTCCCTGTCCCAGCACTAGATCGGTCTTTTCTCTAGGGAGTTCTGGTCCCTTTTAGTGGGGAATGAAGTTTAGAAAACAGTCTGAGTGCTAGGTGTGCACATTGCTGCCAGCGAGTCTTTACTTCTGGGCCTTTTCAGTGGATGGAGCTAATAAATGTTTTTTGTTTTTTGTTCTTTTTTTGGTAAAGAAGATTGGCCCTGAGCTAACATCTGTGCCAGTCTTCCTCTATTTTGTATGTGGGATGTGACCACAGCATGGCTTGATGAGCGAGCAGTGTAGGTCTTCTGCTAGGATCTGAACCTGCGAACCCTGGGCCTCCAAAGTGGAGCATGCAACTCAACCACTATGCCACCAGGCTGGCCCCTGAGATGGGCTCTTTAGAAGGTGTGTCTGTGGGTATTGAGATATCCGTCAGTTTCTTTTGTTGAGTGTTTTTTAGATTGAGAATGAATGTTGATTTATCAAGTGCTTCTTCGGTGTCTGTGGAGATGGTCGCAACATTCTTATTTGGGTATGACATGAGGAGGTGATATATTCGTAAGTTTTCCCATATTTAATCCTCTGCAGCCTCCTCTGCGTTCGTCACATAAATCCAGCCAGTTGTGGACCGCTCTCTTCCTGTGATGCTGGACTCTGTTTAGTCCCGTTTCTTTCTTTCTTCCTTTCTTTCCAGTTTGAGATTTACATGTACTGTGTGCTGGAAACCTTTCCACGTCAGTTCACACAGACTGACCTCGTGTTGTATTTCAGATGTGGCATACTTTAACTGTTGGACAGCTCTCCTTTTTAAAACAGATTTTATTTTTTAGGACAGTTTTAGATTAACGAAACATTGTGAAGATAGTGCAGAGTTCATGTCTGCCCTGCACCCAGTTCCCCCTGTTAATAACATCTTACATTTTTGTGGTACATTTGTTACAATTCATGAACCAACGTTGATCTGCGTTTATTTAATAAAGCCCGTGCTTGATCCAGATTTCCTTAGTTTTTAGCATCTCACATGATATTTAGTTGTCACGTCTCCTTAGGTTCCTCTGGGCTGTGACAGGTTCTCAGACTTTCCTTGTTTTTCATGCCTTGACGGCTTTGAGGAGGACTGGTCTGGTATTTTGTAGGATGCCCCTTAACTGCAATGTGATATTTTTCTCGTGATTAGGCTGGGGTGCTGTGTTTAGGGAAGAAGGCCCCAGAGATTGAGTGCCCTTCCCATCACGTCACATCAGGGTGTGCTGTCACCAGGCTCGTCACCGTGGGGGTCGACCCCGACCACCTGGCTGAGGTGTGTTTGTCAGGTGTCTCCACTGCACGGTTACCCTCTCCCCTTTCAGGGTCGTTCTCTTTGGAACCGGGTTGCCACGTGTAGCCCACACCCAGGGGAGGGAATATTTACACTGGTTCTCATAAGTGAGACGATCTGTAACCTTCCCTCTGTTCGGTCTCCGTCAGATTTTGTCTCAATACTTTGTTCTCTTCATAAAGAGAACTTGTGAGTTGTCCTCTTTCTGCCCCTGGGGTGGACAGTAGCATCAGAATTACCCATTCCGTAAAGGTTTGATACAGTCCCCCTTTGGAACCGTCCTGGTCTTGGTGCTTTTGGAAGGAGTAGCTCTTGGCAACTTTTTCTCTTTCTTCTATGGAAGTTGGTCTGTTTGATAAGTTATATGTTCCCTGAAAATTACCCATTTTACCCAGGTTTTCAAACATAATTGTGTAGTTATACAAAGTAATTGCTTACGATTTTTAAACTTTTCTTATTCCAAGACCATTTTCCCCTTTCATTTCTTGTTTTGAGTCTTGGTGCGTCTCTTCTTTTTCTTGATGAGGTTGGCCAATGGATCCACTTTGTTTCTTCTGTTTCCAGAAACCAGTTTTTAACTGTAATTCTGGTGGTTTTCCAATTTCTAATTAATTCATTTCTGCTTTCATCTCTATTTCTTGTGCTTTATTTCTTGTTTAAAAACCTTCTGAGCTCCTGCTTGAGTCCCTTATGTTTCACTCAGTCTGTGGGGAGATGACAGAGTGAGTTGGCTGATCTTGCCACTTCCCATCTCTCACCTGTGATGTCCTCTCTCCCTTCTGACGCCGCGTTCCATCCTCGTCAGCATCACGCTCCAAGTGCTCCTCGCCTGGACGCCCTCTCGCTTCGTTGCACCAGCGTGGCACGACCAGATCCTGGTTGGCTCCATCTTTTCGCCACGTCCCTGCTTGTAGCTTGGGAAATGGAGACAGGCACCACGTGTGTCAGTCAGGTCTCAGTAAACCTCAAAATATACTCCAGACACGCTGTTTTGATTTGTGTGTGTGTGTGTGTGTGTGTGTGTGTGTATGTGTGTGAGGAAGATTGACCCTGTGCTAACATCTGTGCCAATCTTCCTCTGTTTCTTTTTTGTATGTGAGATGCCACCATAGTATGGCTTGATGAGCAGTGTGTAGGTCTGTGCCCTGGATCCAAACCCACGAATCCCGGGTTTGCTGAAGCAGAGTGTGCAAACTCAATCACTACGCCAAGGGACTAGCCCCTAGTAAATTTATTTTTAAGGCATTCTGAGTTCCAAGAGCAGGTGATCCACCCCATGGATCAGCTTGGAGCCTGGAGGATGTGAGTTGACCAGCAGCAGGTGAGAATGAGAACTTCTTCCTGGGAGTGCCCAGAGCCAGGGAGTTTCGCCCGACAAGCCCTGCAGTCCCTGGACCAGGCCCAGAGGGCACTGCTGGACGGGCTCCCCGGAGTGCAGCCATGTGGTCCAGTGCAGGGTGTTTAAGTTAAAAGAAGGAAGGTTCTGGGGCGTGATGTATTCTCGGTGACTAAGGCCAGGCCCTGGGTTGCCCGTGACCCTGGCTCCCACAGAGGATGCATCCGTTCTTGGTGACTAAGGCCAGGCACTGGGTTGCCCGTGACCCTGGCACCCACTGAGGACGCATCTATTCTTGGTGACTAAGGCCAGGCACTGGGTTGCCCGTGACCCTGGCGCCCACTGAGGACGCATCCCTTCTTGGTGACTAAGGCCAGGCACTGGGTTGCCCGTGACCCTGGCGTCCACTGAGGATGCATCCGTTCTTGGTGACTAAGGCCAGGCACTGGGTTGCCCGTGACCTTGGCGTCCACTGAGGACGCATCCCTTGGAAGTTTGCGGTAGCCTGTTGCCATCCCTCTGTTTTCGTTCACGCCCCGTGATGGGAACTTTGCAGGCTTTCTTACCTTCTGTGAGGCAGGGGCACCAAGGGGACCAGTGTTCTGTGGTTACTCCTGATGCATGCAGTAACCCTTTTGTTTCTTGTAAGGTAAAACCCCAGGAGTGGGGTTGCTGGCTCAGAATGCAGGCGCATGCGTGGTTTTGTTGGATGGTGAAGTGGCAAGTTCTTGGTGATGTAGTTTGTCTCAGGAAAGACAGGGTAAACTTCCCCAGTCAAGGCCCCGAGGGGTGCAGCAGAGGTGGAGTCGGGTCCTGTAGGGTCCTGGCGGCCTGGGCCTCTGTTCCTGCGGCCCTGGAGGGTGGTGGGGGAGTGGCGTTGCTCCCTTTGGCAGCCGTACCTGACAGCTTCCCGAGCGGATGCCCCCCTGCCCCTGGCAGTGAGGGAGGGCTGTGGTTGCTGTATATTCTTGGCAGCACTTAGTGCGGTCAGCCCTGTCCACTTTGACTCTTCTGTGGGTGTGGACAGGGATCCCGTTGCATTTCACTGGCGGGTAGTGACGTGAGCACCTTCTCACGTGTGCCATTTGATGTCCTCTTTATGACGTCCCTGCTCAGAGTCTTGTGTGGGCCTAAAATTTATGTATCTAATTTTATTGTAGATAAATTGTACTATGTAAGCAGCTTCATGCTTGGCTTTCTCTTCACTTATATAAATAGGATTTTTATGTCATTTTTTGGTAAATATAATTTTAAAATATCATTTGGTTTTCTGATTACAAGGTGTCTGCTGTAACACAAACCTGCAGTGTAGAAATAAAGTCTCCTCAGGCCCCCAGCCCCACCCCTCTGGGCAGGGGTCAGCTGCTGTGGTGTGGGGGCCTGCGTTTCCTCTTCTGCCGACACATCGTACCGTTTCTCTTTTTCTCCTGGATCTGCTTACACAGTTTTCCGACTAACTTTTTTTTTCTTACCAATAAGACTATTGCGGGCGCTTTCCCACGTTGTCACATCACAGCACTCAGGTCATTATTTGTGACTGTGACATCGTTGATTCAGCATTGCCATTCCTGTTTTATTTTGTGTGTACATTGAGTGGAAACCTTTTGAATTTTGGATAGATGTGATTTTTAGGCTCTTTTTTTCCATAAGCTGTATCAGTGAATTTTCAAATGTATGTTTGTATGACTCAGTAAAACTAGAATAATTCACCTTCATTAATAACTAAATAATAAACCACTAGCTTATTCTGGTTTTTCACTTTTTTTAACAGTAAGTCACCTATTTATTTGCTTCCAGAAGATCTCACTTTGAAATGGATATTTGCTGACTAGAGAGAATACTGCCTTGTTGTATTTCGATTATTCTGACTGCTATCAAGTAGGGAAGAATGAATTTTAGTGGTATACATTGTGTTGTTTAGGTTCTGTTAGAATACAGTGTTTTATTTTCTGCTGAGCTTTTCTCATCTCAAATGCTTCAGGTCTACGAAGCAATCGACACCCGAGATGGGGCGTCCTGTGCAGAGCTGGTGTCTTTCAAGCATCCTCATGTTGCCAACCCACGGCTTCAGGTAGGTGAAAGGAGGGCGCACAGGTGTCTGAGAGGGCTGCAGGGTAACAGCCTTCCTGAGAGAAGTTCAGAGCTTGAGTAAGAAGGAGACTGACATTGCTGCTCTTGTTTGAAAATGTCAAAGCTCTGTATGATTTGCGTTACTCCAGCTCATTTATTGAGCACTATGTGTCAGATACTGTCCTGAGACAATGTGTCTCATCTTCCTATATTTAGTTCCCACACCACTCTGAGGTTCAGGCAGGTGCAGCAGCCTAACAAGGTCATCCAGTGGACAGGCGATAGGACTTAGGCTCTGCCCAGCCTGTCTGCCCCCAAGCCCTGAGATGTGCCATGTTGTTGTAAGTGAAGTTTCACTGGGGCAGAGCCACGCTTGCTCGTTCATGAGCCGTCTGTGGCTGCCTTCCCGCTGCGGAGGCACAGGTGGACAGAGGTCTGTGACCTGCAAAGCCTACACAGTTGACTGTCTTGCCTTGTCTAGAAAGCATTTGCTGACTCCTGCTCTAAAACATGAGTGTCCTTGTTATAGAGGATAAATGATACCCAAGCAGTATTGTCTGTAGAAAATAGTGTTGATATTTTGTAAAGTCCCCTGTCGTCGTTGATTCATTGGAGTGTCTTTCTATCAGAGAACTCAGTTTTTCCTCTGAAAGAAAAAGGGGCTTGTATACTGGTGATTGTATTTGGCAGCACACAGTCTGTACCTCAGACCAAGTAAACCGGTTTCTGGGTGCAGGCCGGCTTTTTTTTTTCTTCAAAGATTGGCACCTGAGCTAACAGCCGTTGCCAATCTTCTCTCTCTTTTTTGTTTTCTTCCTCAAATCCCCCCAGTCCGTAGTTGTATTTTTAATTATGGGTCCTTCTAGTTGTGGCATGTGGGACGCCACCTCAGCGTGGCCTAATGAGCGCTGCCATGTCCTCAACCAGGATCCGAACCAGTGAAACCCTGGGCCACGAAGTGGAGCACGTGAACTTCACCACTCAGCCACGGGGCCAGCCCCGAGGCAGGCTTTTGTAAAATTTAAAGTTCCCTAGGTTGTTCGACGGTGCAGACAGTGTTGAAAACCACTGCTCTAGATAGGAGTTCTTGCCGGAGACGTGACGAGATTCAGGTTCAGCTTGCAGGCCAGGTGCTCCACAGCTGGTGCTGCCTGCTTCCTGCTCTGTCGCTCAGCCACACGCGTCTCTGCCCGGTTGTAATCCAAGGCTGACCCGTTCGCTATAGAACTCCCCAGTAGCCTTGCATCTGATGGTTCCATCCACTGGTAGCTGGTGTCTTCAGTCAGTTATTTCATTAGGGACTGCAGAATGGTGATTTTTCTGATGTTGTCATCTTTCCTCCCACATTTGTATGTGTAGATATGCATATGTATTTGTTGTACCGGTGTACTCACTGATTCCTTTTTTTTAAATTCAATGTTCTATATAATCTATCGTGATGCTTATATTGTCTAAAATTTGGTCATTGAGAGGTAATGAAAACTTAGAAATAAACGTGAGCTAGTCTAGCCCAGGACGCAGAGAGAGTGGTTCTGTCACTGGGAAGCGAGGAGAGATTCCTAACGTGGCATTGTCTCTCACTCAGTCGGCCTTTGTGTGATGTATTATATGCTTTATTATGCCTTATTTATTAACCATATAGTTGGTGCTTAGGAAGTATTTCTTGACTGGCTGGCTGTTAAACAGTGAGATAGATATATTATCTGGCCTGTGGTAGACGAGACGGCCTGTGTTCCTCTGGTACCCACACCTAGGTCGTGCTTCATAAATATGTGTGGAGCACTTCCTTTAGAAGTGCTGAAGTGTAAAGTGTTACTGTTAACTCTAAAGTATGAATTCTTTTGAAACAGAGGTTTGTCTAAATCTCTTTCTGCACGCTGCGTTCTCTCCTTGCTTGCTGATTTTGTTTCTGTCCTTTCTCTTCTTGTCATTTAGATGGCCTCTCCAGAAGAGAAGTGTCAACAGGTTTTGGAACCCCCTTATGATGAAATGTTTGCCGCTCATTTACGGTAATCCATTGGTGAGGGTGATCCCTTAGTGGGAAATGCAAGCAGACCTGGAAATGGCTGAACTGAAGGGATTTTATTTCACAGCATCTTATGCTTGCAGCAGTGAATAATTTACTTTGAAAAAGTAGAAAATTGCGTTTGTAATTTCACTTTGGTAAAGCCTGTGAAAATTTTGTGAAGTTTAAAATACTTTAAAATTTTAATATGCTTTTTTTCATTTCAAGGATCATATGTTTTTAAAAGTTAAAATTAAATTGTGACCATGTATCTCTATATATCTATTGTGTAATACTGTAAAATCACTTACTACTCACCATCTCGGCTGCATAGTGGTCTTTTGTTTCAGAGGGTGAGAGCCCACTGTTGACTAGCATTTTTCATGGAAGTATGCCCATTTTTTAACCTCTTTGCCTTTCCCGCAAAGAGACGAGCTGAGCAAAGCAAACGAAATCCTGCTTTCTATTTACATTTCAGAGCTCCTGTTTCATGTCCAGAGCATCAATTCAGGCAAAGCTGGTGTCCTAGAGCCTGTGGTGTTTGATTGCCCTGCTGCCTCGTGCCTCCAGTGTCTCGGAGCAAGCTGGAGTGTGGGGCAGGTGGGGGCAGACCTATGAGACCTGGAAAAGCTGGGGTGCCACTGTGCTCCTGTCGTGGGAGGCACCTGCACTTTCCTAGCCTGTGCAGTGTGCCGTGGGGTTCCAGGTTTGGTGATGAGCTGACTAGTACTGACTCCACCCAGCCAGGCATCTAGTTTGAATGTTATTGCCTGCTGATCCAGGAGAGGGCCATACTGTGTATCAGTGCGTGTTACCAATAAAACCTGCTGCAACTGGGTTTTTTCTTCTGGGGCTTGCAAGAAAAGTCTCAAAACTTAATGCAGGTTTCGTCTTATACCAGCTTGTTCTGGTGCCAGAAGTCATTCATGTGTTTCTTACCATCCCTCACCTTTTTGTAACCTGCAGGGCAGGAGCTCCCGCTTTTACTCCTGGATCGGGAGAGAATAGAGTGTCTGTGATGGAAGAAAGGCATGTGGTCTACAGAGTTCACGTCTAGGGTTTAATCATGTGAATGCACTTTCTGCTGCCTCTGTCCTCAGTCTCCAACGTTTCTTTTCCAGGTGCACTTACGCGGTGGGGAACCATGACTTCATAGAGGCGTACAAATGTCAGACTGTCATCGTCCAATATCTTTGATCATTTGTGTTCCTGTTCAATTTATAACACATACAGTGGATTGTTTGGGATTTAAGATCTTGAAACATTGGGCCAATTTTATTCATACCTTTAATTAGAAAGGAATTAAAACCTTTTGGAAGAGAAACTCATTTAGCTATTTCACTCGGGTACATAAATTTACCATGGACCTTAGGACTGTTGTCCAGTTACTTATATAGTAAGGAAGAGCACTGGTTATGATTAAGGATTTTATTTAATTATGTTCTGAAGAATAATATTTTGTTGCCTTTAAAGCATTAAGTATTTTACAGGGACTGGTTAGAACTCCAGCGTCCAGGCATGGGTGGACAAGAGTGGACTCAACACACACTGTCATTTAATGACGGTCACTAAAGACTTGAATCAAGCAGTTTCTGACTGAAATCGTTTGTGGTGTATTGGAGCTAAGGACCTAGACAGTGATCTTCTAGCGTGGATATGTGTCTCTTGACCTCGGTTTGCCTTTGTTTTAGCCGTCTTGTTTAAATATACACAGAAGAGAGTCAGTTACTAACTAGCTAAACCTCCTTTAAATTCAGGAATTCTATAATCAATGAAATAAACTTTATACTACAGATTCCGAAGTCCATTACATATAACTTGTGATTATCTGGGCTTAGAGAAACCAAATAATGTTTGAAATTGCTGATTAAAAAACTCTTATAACAATAGTCTTTTCCTTAGTTTGGAGAAAGTATGTAAGAAATAAATATATCTACTACACTTATACCTAACGATGCTCAGATATTTGTAGTGTGGGCATATATATTGTTTTTCTTCAAGAACTTACTGCTGTGACACATAATCTTCTAAATGGTGAGCAGTATACCCTAAAATTTAAAGTCCTTCTTCTTCTTGGGGCCGCCCCGTGGCCGAGTGGTAAAGTTCGCACACTCCGCCTCAGTGGCCCAGGGTTTCACTGGTTCGGATCCTGGGTGCAGACGTGGCACCGCTCATCAGGCCATGCTGAGGCGGCATCCCACATGCCACAACTAGAAGGACCCACAACGAAAATACACAACTATGTACTGGGGGGCTTTGGGGAGAAAAAGGAAAAATGAAATCTTTGTCCTTTGCTTTTGTGTGTAGCGTAACTTGAGTTTTGTGTGCGATGCCCTCCTTAACACAGCACGTCGTTCCTGCGGGCATTTCAGGCTCACAAAGAAGAGAACTGGTAAGTGTGAACAGAAGCAGCTGGAGATTAGCAGATGGCTGTTTTTCAGAAGCTTTTTAGAAATTTATTCTAAATAAATATTTATGTGTTTTCTATAGGGATATTTACTATCACGTGTAGACATGTGATAGTATAAACACGGATAATGGAGTTTTAATAGTCAATGTCAGCCTAGGTGGCAGATCAGCTAGATGATTTGCAGTGTGTTTATGTAAAGATGACGTATTATTTTTATTTCAGTCCTCTCGTGACCCCCAAAATTTATTAAATGCTATTTTTTTCCTTCAGTTGTCAATTTTGAATTTACTTTTGGTTTTAAACTTGGGTAAAAGAGAAGAATCAACTACAGTGCGTTTGGGGTGATATAATACATAGTAATTGGGTTATTTTAAATTCCTTAACAAACTAATTCTTAATTCTATGATTTATGAGTTATTAACAAACTGTAGGTAAATACTGAAATTTTGTTTACACTAAAATAACTGAAGGCTTGCAAATACCTTTTACTGAGAAAACCAAAACACTTTTATTTAAGTGAACACTTACCTTACATGTAAAACTAATACTGCCAGCTTGATTTTTGAAAGATTGTTTTCTGACATTTTGTCTATTACACATCTGTGTCCTGTTGGGAAATCTTACTAGACTCCATCTTGTTTCAGTGGAGCTGTCTGGATAATGGTGGGGAGTTGAGGGGAAGCAGAGGGTCCTGGAACAGCCTGCGGGACCCCAGGTAGACAGGGGCCTAGGCCTCTGAGGCGGTCAGGGCAGTGGGCGTGAAGCACGTCCGCGTCTGGCCTCTGCTGATCAAGAGGGCAGGGCGCTGCAGCCCGCCCTGGTGGAGGTGAGGAAGGCAGCAGTGCCCTTGGGCTCTTGGAGGGTGGTGACCCTGTTCTGGACAGTAGCCCCAGGTGTGGGTGTTGTCCCACTCCTGGTGGTGGGATCTGTGGCCTCAAAGCCTCCCCAAACGTCCTTGCTTTTCCGCCCCTGCAGGGCTCTGCCTGTCATGTATGCGGTGGCACTTGACCTTCGAGTATTTGCCAATAACGTAAGTTTAATTTCTATCACTTTTGTTTTAAAACCCAAGCTCGGTGTCAGTCTGTTGCTTAATTTCATGTGATTTTGTTTTTGTTTTTTTTTTCTGGTGAGGAAGATTTGCCCTGAGCTAACATCAGTTGTCAATCTTCTCCTTTTTTTTTCCTCTTTGCTTGAGGAAGATTAGCTCTGAGCTAACATCTGTGCCCATCTTCCTCTATTTCGTACGTGGGATGCCTCCACAGCATGGCTGATGAGTGAAGTAGGTCCACGCCCAAGATCCGAAGCTGTGAACCTGGGTCACGCAAGTAGAGTGCACGAGACTTTAACCACTCAGCTTTGGGGCCAGGCCCTCGTGTCATTCTTTCCAAAAGTTTTAGGAAGTGACTAGGGTTGGGATGTATCTGTTGTAGAGAGCAAAAGAACAGGGGATGGCTTGACTCATTGTTCTTTCTGGGTTGATGTGAACAGATTTAAATAAACATCAGTCTTCACGCTTTAGATGTAGAGGGAGTTGTTCTGTGTGTAGTTGGCCGTTTATGGCATGCACTGTTTTTAAAAGGGGTGGAGCGATAATAGATGAGCGGTCCTGCTTTTTCTGTTCAGCTGTGGCCTGCCTCCCGTCTTAAAGAATCCCACCTGAGTGGATTCAGACAGTAGCTAAGGGTCTCTCTGCTGTGAGGAGATGAAGAGCCTGGATTTTGTGGGGTTGATTCCCCTTGTGGGTCAGTATAAGCTAGTTTTGAAGCAGCGGGTCTCAACTTTTTGGTCCTAACACCCTTTTACAGTTTTAAAAATTATTGATGAGGGGCCGGCCCAGTGGTGCAGCGGTTAAGTTCGCACTTTCCGCTTCTTGGCGGCCCGGGGTTCGCCAGTTCGGATCCCAGGTGTGGACATGGCACTGCTCAGCAAAAGCCATGCTGTGGCAGGCATCCCACATATAAAGCAGAGGAAGATGGGACAGATGTTAGTTCAGGGCCAGGCTTCCTCAGCAAAAAGAGGAGGATTGGCAGTAGTTAGCTCAGGGTTAATCTTCCTAAAAAAAAAAAAACAATTATTGATGACTTCCAGTTCCAGACAAGATGGAGCAGGCACGTTTGTCTGCTCCCTCCTGCTGGGAGTTATGAAGCTAGTGAGGCCCTGAGAGCTGGAGAGAAGAAGGGGCCGACTCGCAGAGCAAGGGGCAGTGAGATCCCCGAGCTCCTTGTCTGCCTCCTGTTTGTCCTGATGTTCCCGGAGAAGCCTGAGACCCAGGAACACCAACAGGCAGAGATGAAGAAGACCCAAGGAGAGCAGGAAGGGGGGGCAGCCCAGCAGGACAGACCCTTTCCACAATTCCTGCTGCACTACACACAAGTCTGCAGGTACCCCCACCTTCAGCAAGCCCGTGGGGAGCTGGACCCGCCTCACCCCGTGCAAAGAGCTGGAGCCCCCGTTTCCCCGCGAGCATGGTGTCAGCAGAGGCCCACCGACATGCGATAAATAAGGTCCACAGTCTCATGACATCATACCTCAGATGTCCAAGACATAATCGAAAATCCCTGTCGTACCAAGAATCAGGAGAGTGTCAGCCTTTTGAGATTTTGAGTGAGGAAAGACAATGAACACAACACCGAGATGAGACGAATGGTGGAATTCCCTGGCAGGGTTTGGCACCAGCCATCGTGAAGAAGCCCCAGGAGCAGTTGACAGGCTTGAAACAAAGGAAAATGCAGACAGCCTCAGCAGAGAAATGGGAGTTGGAAAGAACCAAATGGAGATTTTAGAACTGAACGATATAATAACAAATAGAAATTATTGAGGACCCCAAAGAGCTTCTGTTTATATGTGTTATATCTGTATTTACTGTATTAGAAATTTTAACTGGGAAAATTTTTAATTTTTATTCATCTAAAATAATAAATCTTTACATGGTAACGTAATTGACTTTTTAAGTAAAAAATAACTATATTTTCAAAATGAACAAGATGTGCTAAGAAGAGTGGCTTTTTTACATTTTAATCTCTAATGTCGGGTTTAACAGAAGACTCACGGATTCTCCTGTCTGCTTCTGTACTCACTCTGTGCTGTATGTTGTTTTGGTTGAACGTATGAGGACAGTGGGCTCACAGATGTCGATGGAAAAGGGTGGAGTATTTTAGTGGCCTTTTCGGATCATTGTAGATATCCTTTGAGCTACACCAAAACTCCAAGAGGTCCTTGTTAAAGGTTAGTCATGTTGTGGCCTCTGAAGCTTAGCAGTGAACTTTTTCTACTGTTACATCAAAACCCACTGGTGTGTCACACACTTTGAATGGATCTTATACCCTTGCATGATTTTGTAACATCATACGTTGATCATCTGGAAAATTTTGGTTCACTGAGTTGTGCAGATGTTCCAAATGTTGACGTGCATCATTATGTAAAAAACCAAACGTTTGAAAAACTCTCCGTTTGTTCGTGTCTCCAGTGACCTCATCAGAAAAGTCTTGAAGCTATGGAAAGCTGCCAAGCTCATGGTGTTTAATACAAATTTTCCAAAATTCTGTTTTTTTCTTGAAAGCACAGATGTTCTCGTTGGTGACAAATGCTGTCAGTTTGCCTAGAAGTGACAGGCTTCTTTCATTCACTTTCGAGCAAATTGTCCCCAGAGCCCACACTGAACCACCACGCTCGTCTGTCAGTTTTCTGTCCACGTTCCAGCTCCACTCCACTGGCTGCTCAAGTGCTTTTCCTTAGACAGCTGTCGTACTTCAGTGTGCAGCAGACCTGCTTTGTACACGCTTCGTCACGCTTTGTACCTGTTTCATCACAAAGGATATTGAAAATATACATATTCAAGGACCAAGACTTAAAAAATTGATATGTCTGCGTTAACAGGACATTTTAAAGTGAAATGAGCTTTACCGTTGATTGACTGCTTGAGGGGTTGCAGGTGTGTGATGCTGAGGGCACCATGATGAGGGGTTGCGGGTGTGTGATGTCGAGGGCACTGTGACTACTGGTTCAGTTTGGCACCACTGGGGAGGCTCCCGTGGTTCCACCCGCCTTCCATGCAAATGTCAGTGCAATATAAAAAGAAAGAATGGCTCAGTGTTATCGTGAAATACTTTTGACCATGTCAGTCATCTGCAAACGTCTTGAAGGTGGGCTGGGGTTTGCAGGCCACACTTCAAGATCCTGTGTTGGAGAGAAGATGAGAGTGAGAAGACAGGTTCTTCTTTCACCAAGACTGTCCCAAAAACAAGGAGAGTCAGACTTGGTAGTGACGTGGACACCTATCGAAAGTGTTTCCAGGGCTTTGACTAGCGGTGCGTGGGATGGTGAGTCCAGTGACCGAGTAAGGAAGGGCTTCTTAGCAGCACAGGGCCACATGCCATGCAGGCTTCAGGGTTGGTGACTGACTTACTAGCTGGAACTGGCTGAAGAGAGATTTGATTTGTGGAAGAGGTGGAATAAGCTATAGATTTCTCAATTTTTAAAAATACTGTAGTGTAGACATGATTTCTTCAGAACCTTACGGACTCTGACTCTTGGTTGTAGCCATTTGTGCTTCTGGCTGCACTGTGATTTTCTTTTTAATTAAGGAATCAAGAAGAAATAAAAAATAAATGTTTTTCTGTTCGATTAGGCAGATCAGCAGTTGGTGAAGAAAGGAAAAAGCAAAGTCGGGGACATGTTGGAAAAGGCAGCTGAATTGTTGATGAGCTGTTTCCGCGTCTGTGCCAGTGACACGTGAGTGAGGCTTTGGATGGAGACATCCCCGTGGCCCATCACAGCACATTGCCCTCCTGTCCTTTGTCTGTCGTTGACGTTTATTTTAGTTCGACCCATGTAAGCTGTATCAGTTTTTCTTGTCTTTCTTTTTTTGGTGTGAGGCAGTGCATTTCATTGTCAATTGCATGCATCAGTAAACTTTTCCCTGAATACTTCAGATTCTCTTTTGTATTTTGAGGTAAAATTTTCATACAATGAACCACACAAATCTTAACTGCCTATTTGCTGAGTTTTGACAAGTATACACACTGTATAACCCAAACCCCTGTTGAGAGAAAGGACCTTACTGTCAGCATGGTCCTGGTGTTTCCCACTGTAGATCAGTTCTGCCCACTTGGTGACTTCATGTAAACGGACCTACACGCCACATGCTCTGTGTCTTCCTCTTTTTGAGGTTCCTCCATGTTGTTGTGTCTTTCAGTAGTTTATTTTGTTGCAATAATAAGAGAGAATACTTTTTCCATGTTTCAGAAATGCTTCATAACAATTAGCCTTTACATATATTGCTGCAAACTAGTCAGTTTTCACCTGCTGCAGTGAGGGGGTGTGTTTCCCAGATGTCTAGCTGGGGTTAGAACTCCTGGTTTGGTCTTTTCAATTTTACCTGTCAGATAGGACATCTTCTTTCATAATGTTGCTGTATTTCATGAATATGACTTGAGCTGTTGGATTTTATCTCAAGATTTTAATTTGTTCAGGCAGTTTATTTTGTGATTTATAAATAAAATTTTTATTTCCTATGTAACTTTAAAACATTATTTTTCCATAGTCGCGCTGGTATAGAGGATTCTAAGAAGTGGGGGATGCTGTTTCTGGTGAATCAGTTATTCAAGATTTACTTTAAGGTATGCTTCTGTTTGAATACTGTGTAATATATCTTTTTAAGTTTTCTTTCTCCCCATCTTCCTGGATATCCTTTCTATTAATTACTACTAGCCTCCCTGACGTTGCTTGGGAAATGGGCATCACCCAACCATACTCATAACCCTAAGAGGTACCGTTTGCCAAGCGCCTGCTAAATGCAGGCCCTGTGGTCCCTAAGAGGCACCGTTTGCCGAGCGCCTGCTAAGTGCAGGCCCCGTGGTCCCTAGGAGGCACCGTTTGCGGAGCGCCTGCTAAGTGCAGGCCCCGTGGTCCCTAAGAGGCACCGTTTGCCAAGCGCCTGCTAAATGCAGGCCCCGTGGTCCCTAAGAGGCACCGTTTGCCGAGCGCCTGCTAAGTGCAGGCCCCGTGGTCCCTAAGAGGCACCGTTTGCAGAGCGCCTGCTAAGTGCAGGCCCCGTGGTCCCTAAGAGGCACCGTTTGCCGAGCGCCTGCTAAGTGCAGGCCCCGTGGTCCCTAAGAGGCACCGTTTGCTGAGCGCCTGCTAAGTGCAGGCCCTGTGGTCCCTAACAGGCGGTCTCGTCAGTGCTTTGCAAGTATTGTCGCACTTCAACCTCAGTGCTGTGAAGTCAGAGCTCTTGGCTCCAGGGAAGCTAAGGCACCGACAGTGAGGAGTGTGCCTGGGTGGGACTGGGCTCTGAGGGAGGCCGCAGTCTGCAGCCTTCTGCCTGCTGTTAGCGTAACCGGAGCCGAGTGGAACAGATGCGTGTGTGGGTGGATAAAGCAGTGAGCCTTTGCCCCGCCAGGTTGGCCCGGTGCAGGGGCCTCCATCGCACACCTTGGGTGGGCCTTCCAAAGGGGATGTAACCTATGCCGTGCAGCTCGTGTCTAGTTCTTCTTATTAAATAATGAATTTTGATGATTAATAGTGTGGTTCCCACTGTAAGGAGGTGTAGACTTGGTAAAGTAGAAGTTTACGTTTGTCCTCCCCGTCTTGTTTTCTTTTAGTAATACTTAAAATGCTTGTTGTTTGTTATAGATCAACAAGCTCCATCTGTGCAAACCCCTAATCCGAGCCATCGACAGCTCCAACCTGAGAGACGATTACAGCACCGCGCAGAGGGTGACGTACAGGTACTACGTTGGGCGGAAGGCTATGTTCGATAGTGACTTTAAGCAAGGTATGTTGTTAATGTTTCTTCCAGAATCTTGAAGACATTGCATTCTGAACAACTTAAGTGGTACAATTTCTGAAAACATAATTACTGCATTTTATTATTACTTAAGGTGGAGTATAGGTAGAAACCATGTCCAAGTTATATTTCGTTAACTTTTAACAGTAAAGTGGTTAAATAAAGGAGAATCCTAGTGGGAGTTTCTTAATCCACACTGGGTGTCTGAAATACACGTGAGAGTCTCTTGTCATGATGGCCCTTTTTGTGTGAGATGATTACACACCACTGTCTTTGCACTGAACAGAAGTAATGTTTTCTCCCATTGCCTCTCCTGGTCTCGACTCAGAAATCCCACGTGGAGCGGCCAAGCGGGCGGTGGGGACATGTCCTGGGACTGTGGTCAGCTTTGGGGTTTGTGTCCACGAATGATGGCCTCGTTGCCACATCAGAGCTGCTCTTTCATGAAATCACATTATTTTGTAGTTTATTCCATTAACTTTCTCAAGGACATGAAGCCCATTCTTTTTCACTTTAAATTAGGTGATTAGCTGGCATGAGGCTCTCCTTTCCGACCTCTCCTGTTGTACTCAGACCAGACTTTAAAGTCACTTCTTCAGCAGCGTTCGCACAGGACCCATGAGATCGCTTTCTCTCTGTGCGCTGTAGCAGGGATCCTCCACGCACGGGGCCAGCAGCTCCTTGACAGTCACTGCTCTGGGTTTTATACTGTGGCGTTATACAGACCAACTTTTCATTTTCTTTCACAAAATTTTTAATGGATCTACAGCTCTCAAAGAAGGGCTGTCCTTGGTTATTCTCCATCAGTTTTTTTTCTTTAAAATATGAAGCATAAGAATAGAAGCTTTTGCATTATATCCTGTTGAAGCCTCTCTAGGTGTCGATATGTTTTTCCTCTGAAGAGTCATTGAGTAGTATGTTTGAATACCTAACCCAGCAAGAAAGCCTTGGTTAGTAAGAAGGGTAGAGGTGTGCAGGTTCTGAGGCCTTTGCAGACTGTGTGTAAGGAGAAATGGTGGGATGAGGCGCAGGGGGGCTGTGGCAGCCGCGTGCTGTGCAGAGCGCACGAAGGCCACTGAGCCTGCCTTGTCTGACTCGTCGCCTCGCCCGCGTCTGCAGCGGAGGAGTACCTGTCCTTCGCCTTTGAGCACTGCCACCGCTCCAGTCAGAAGAACAAAAGGATGATTCTGATATACCTGCTTCCAGTGAAAATGCTGCTGGTGAGTGACTGTTACTCAGTTCTTAGAGATCTCGTTGCTTTGAAGAAGTTGACAGACTTTTTAAAATACAGCAGATGGTGTGTAGTTGATCACAGAGGTGCATGTGAGCGCACCCCAAAGACAGAGGGAGAGTCAGCTTTTGTGTGGCCTGAGCCGTGCATCTCCGTGACTGACACTTCCCGGCCCTTCTGGAGAGACCGTGCTTCCTCTCTCTCGCAGTAGCTAACCCAAAGGTTTAATGTACGTAAGACAATAACATGAGTGCATGTTATTTCTGTTCCCCATAAAAATCTAAATTAATATAAATGGGTTAACCAAGAAATGAAAATATCATTCCAGCTTGTCTGCAGGTATCTTATTTGGTCACCAAAAGTTATTTTTGATACTTGAAAAGAAATGACAAGTAACTAGCAAGTTAATTGACTAAAACGTCTTCAAAGTCATAGATGGAGCTTCCATTTAAAAAATTGTTTTTAATTATCAAAGCAATACACATATGGTTAAAAGTTAAATAGTTCAGGGTAGAGCTTGTAATGGGAAAGCAACGATGTTGTACCTGCCCCCCCCCCCCCCCCCACTTCTAACCCTGCTTCACAGAAGTGACCAGTTTTAAATTTTTTAGCTGCTTATTCTGGAAGATGTTTCCATATTCCTAAATCTTATACTAGTATTTCTTCAGTTGTCACTCCCCTCTTATGATATAAAGCATAAGAGACTAGCAAAGGTCAAGATCAAGGTCAGATGTCACTGAATGACAAAGCTGTATTGTACCCGGGTTTCCTGATTTCTAGACCAATGTCTGTCTTTTTCTAGCATATTATGATCTTTTTCATCTTTGTTCAGCTACTTAAGAAGATATTCTAAGAAACACAGGTTGCATGTTTTAAAACTTGAATCCTTGATAAGAATTTTATCTAAGACGCTTCTCAAAAATAAAAGGGTTCTCAATCTGGAAAATTAACTCTCGGTCTTAGGGTCATATGCCAACCATTGAGCTCTTGAAAAAGTACCATCTCATGCAGTTTGCTGAAGTGACCAAAGCTGTAAGGTAGAGTGTTCCACCTTTTCCACTTGGGATCTTTTAAAATATGAAGTTTTAAAAAACGTCACGCGTGTCATGTGAAAACTAACTGCTTTTTGATGCCGTCTCGTCCTGGGATTTCGTTCTGTGCCCGCGCTTGTGCATCCTTCACCGTCCCCAGCGAAGGCAATCTCCTCCTGCTGAACGAGGCTCTCACAAAGCACGAGACCTTCTTCATTCGCTGTGGCATTTTCCTCATCCTCGAGAAGCTGAAGATCATCACCTACAGGAACCTTTTTAAGAAAGTGTAAGCAAAGTGTTTTCTTTCTGATAAGTTTAAACTCTGGCATGACTCACGCAGTGGAGTCGCCAGGCTGTGGAGGGCCTTCCTGTGACAGGTGCATGTCCTGAGATGGCCTGGGTGTCCGTCCGGGGACTGGCCAGCACTTCTTTAATTCTGTGGGTGCAGCCACACTTCTCCGAGCAGGCGAGGGCTCTGCCTGCCCTGTGAGAGGGGTGATCGGGTCGTGTGTGGTAAGAGGGCTTCATAACGGACGCTTCAACATGCCAGCCCTAAGAAGCACGTGCTGCCCGTTTTATCAGAGCGCCTGGGACTCAGTGCTCCGTTCCTTTGTCTCTGACCCGCTGGCCACCCTTGCTGCCCCTGCTGACAGAAATGGACTCTTTCTGCACTTGTTCCTTTTCTTCCGCGTGACACGAGGAGTTGACTCCCTCAGGCCTGGTCTCAACAGGATCACGGTTAATTCACCTTCAGACAAAGCCAGGCTTTCTGTGGCCGGGGGCAGTATCCCAGAGTGAGTCCTTGAATCTGGAAGACACTCCACTGTGAGGCGAGTCCTCATCTCAGAGAGGTCAAAATGCGAAAAGTTGCATCCTAGAGTCAATGAAACATTGAGTAGATATAAAAAATTACATTTGTACCATGGCTTTTTAAATTGAAAGTCAGGGTTGTATTCAAGAGCTCTCATTGTTAGAGTGTGTCTGGGAGGTGAAGGCTTTCTGTCCCTTTGGAACGGGGTCTGTCAGACGCTGTCCTGCCTCAGCCAGCACTCCTTTTCCTGGCCTGTGAGGACTTGCGTCCTATTAGAACCAGTGTGACCTGTTTCCTTCTCCAGGTACCTGTTGCTCAGAACACACCAGCTGTCTCTGGACGCCTTTCTGGTTGCCTTGAAATTCATGCAAGTGGAAGACGTGGACATCGACGAGGTCCAGTGTATTCTGGCCAACCTGATTTACATGGTGTGTGAGCTCTTGGTCCAGTAGTCGGATGCGGGCTGGAATTTGAAGCTTTGATACCATGTCCTTAAAGACACCTTCAGGCCCTTTGCTTTTGTGAAGGCATTTTCTAAGAGAACTGATTTACTCCTGGGAAATACATGATATTCAAAGGGCTTTATGGGGTGTGGTGGGTGGATTTAATAGGTATTTCTCTATTTTCCACCATATATGTGTTTATTCATTGTCCTCCCAGTGAATCGAATTGCACAGTGACGGGGGAAGAATGCTTATGCCCTGGGACTAAGTGGTTAACTCACCCAGCATCCTCGATGTAACTCATCGGACACATACACCCGCCTCTCTCCCCTGCAGGGTCACATTAAAGGCTATATCTCCCATCAGCACCAGAAGCTGGTCGTCAGCAAGCAGAACCCCTTCCCTCCACTGTCCACAGTGTGTTGATGCGCAGCCCTGAGGAGGGAGCCCAGTGCTCCTCCTGTTTCCAGTCACGCGGACGGAATCAGTCCTGGGCCGAGACGTCCTCTGCAGCTGCATCTCGTGGGCTCTTTCTCAGGGATGCTGAGGCTGGGTCTGCCAGCACACGGATCCCGTGAAATCTCCACCCTCGCTCATAGGTGATGTCAGCCTCACGGAGACCTGGAGTTCCTTTTCAGAAAACGCAGACGCCTCCATTGGCTCTGGAGGTTGGTGAAACCCTATGAGGGGCTCTGTCTCCAAGGCAGCTGTAGTTTACTTCTTATAAGTGTTGTTCACAAAGGTATCTTTGTAACTTTTGTATAATTGTTTCTATAAAAAGCATTCTGAGTTTATACAAATGGCGTATTCTTTATTATATCCTCTGGGTTACATCAATTTTTATATAGTAAGTTTGAACATTTTATGTGATCAAAATGCTTCAGGCTTCTTTTTACAAACTGAATGGAGTTTGGTTTAAGTTTTCCGGGTATTTAGGCTGCCACTTTTCAGGGAATGCACGTTTCCACTGTTTACACAAAACTCGCTAAAGAAGAGAACTCAGTAAGCTGTTTCAGTTCATCTGTGCAGAATTACCAAGTCTGAGAGCTGCTTGTCCCTTTGTGCAAAGGGAAGCTGCTCTAGAAACTGCGGGTTTTCTCTTGTTCTCGGTCCACGGCTCAGCACCAGCTCGCGTGTGGGCCCCGAGTGAAGCGCCTCCGCTGCCCGACTCAGCAGCCAGGGCGCCTGCGACAACAGCGCTCCCCTGGTTGCTCTTAAAGCTGCAGTCTGGTCGGGGCTCAGTGGGAAGTTTGCTTCTGCTCCATGTGGCCTCACCTGGGGCTCTGCTGGCAGCTGGGTGGCCCACTCTGAAAGCGCGTTGGCAGCGGGCCCTGGCCTGGTGCTCAGCGGGGCTATGGGCAGGCCTTCAGTTCTTCCCACCATGGGCCCCTCCAGCTGCTGCTGGGCTTCCTCCTGGGACAGAGCCTGGTCCCCAGAGCCAGTGTCCCAAAGGAACCAGGTGGAGCTGGATCCCTTATGAGCCAGTCTCCTCAGTCATGGTGGCCCCTCTGCCCTGGGCACGTTCAGAATCAAGCCCCTCTGGATGTGGCGTGCAGAATGCAGTGTGTGCCTGGGGGTGTCCTCAGCCTCTCGAGCTGCCTGTCCCCCCAGCTCCCTGAGCAGAAGGTACAGCCACGGGCAGGCAGAGAACACCCTCACGCTGCTGGTGCTCCGGGCTTGGAGCATTGCCTGTCTCTGTTTTCCGGGGCACTGTTCTCAGCATTGACCTGCTACTCAGCAGGGACTGTAAACATCCTTCAGCTTCCAATCCGCAATGTGAATCTTGGAACTTCTGTGTGCACACCCCAGTTCCATTCTGGGTTTAATAGCAATAGAAAGCTGAAGTTTGTCAACATTTTCAGGTACTTTTGTGAACAGTAAATAGTGACAGCAAAAATCAAGGATTGCCTATTAACAGCAGATAATACCTGGTCATCTTGGCAGTGAAAGAGATAGAGCCTCAGGTGTCGGTGCCCTCGTGTCAGGCTTGGTGTGCAGCCCCGTGCAAGTGGTGATCGCACAGGCACCTGGCCCTGCGGGTGGCTTGGGCTGACGACAAGGACTCGGCCCTCGCTCCGCCAAGTGTGAATTGGCGTGCCCTCCTACGCAGTCATCTAAGCTCCCCTTGCTTGGGTTTTATTTTTGTGTCTGATTTGGCTTACCTCAAATGGTTCCTAACCACTCTATTAGTTTTATGTGTGGGTAGAGCTGTTCTCTTCGTTTCGAAGCCCGTCGTCCCCGGCTGGCCGTCAGTCCTGTGGCTCTCACTGCTGGTCAGGCCTGTGCCTCTCACTGCTGGCCGTTGGGCCTGTGGCTCTCCCTGCTGGCCGTCTTCCTGCGGCTGTCCCTGCTGCCGTCTTCCTGCGGCTGTCCCTGCTGCCGTCTTCCTGCGGCTGTCCCTGCTGCCGTCTTCCTGCGGCTGTCCCTGCTGCCGTCTTCCTGCGGCTGTCCCTGCTGGCCGTCTTCCTGTGGCTGTCCCTGCTGGCCGTGAGACCTGTGGCTGTCCCTGCTGGCCGTCTTCCTGTGGCTGTCCCTGCTGCCGTCTCCCTGTGGCTGTCCCTGCGCCACGTCTCCCTGAGCCCATCAAGGCTGTAGTGAGCCCACCTCTGCCTGCGCTGTGTCTGTAATAATCTCCAAATAGGGTTTCACTCTGGTTCAGCAAATCCAGATTTGTAGTGCAAATTAATGCCATAATCGAGATTGCAGATATTTCTGCAGCATTATTTGCATAAAAATTGCAGTGCTCATTTGCAGGTTTTATATCGTTAGTAGACATAAAGCAGACCTAATTAATTACCTTATGGTAGTTTGAAATCTTACTAAGACTTTAAAATTCACTCTTTTTCCCCCACGGCCCTCCACATTAGTCTGCATTAGATTAGCACATTTATCTTTGCCACGGTCCTTTCAGAGAAATGGGGCAGTACATCTGCAGCTTGGCCAAAAAAAAAAGTTTAATTCTAGGGTTAAAGTTTATATTGGAAATAAAGAGATATTTAGTGTGTCTAAGAATCGTAAGACTTAAATATCTGAATTGTGTTTAAACTCCATTTTCACTCAAAAGAAATTTAAATCAATTTATGTTTTAAATCCCTTAAAAAACATCCTCTCTCCCCTTCCACAACTCTGTCCAAGGGGCCCCAGCGGACCAGCGGCCCCCACACATGTGCCTCTGGAGCTGGAGCTGCCCTCTTCTGCCTGGCTGCTGTCCACAGCGAACTTAGCTGTCAAAGCTCTTGTTTCTTGCAAGGAACCGGGGACTGGAATTTACGTGCCCAGGGTCGAGGAGCCGGGGACTGGAATTTATGTGCCCAGGGTCGAGGAGCCGGGGACTGGAATTTATGTGCCCAGGGTCGAGGAGCAGCTTTGCTGCTTCCTTACGAGTTAAGAGATTGTCTTAAATAAACATGGTTTCTATCCACATGCTCTCACGTTTCATTTCTGCACACACTCGGACCCAACGTGGAGTTCTGGTCTTCAGGGAAGCACACTTTGGGCTGGACACCAGCTCTGTCCTTCCTGTGTTGCAGCCGCAGTCTTCAAAATGGCACTGGGAATCACTGGTTCCACATGGGGAGCCCACTTTGGCTTTCTCCCAGCCCTGTCTGGTGGGTGCTGTTGTCACTCCATCCCAGAGACGGGGAGACAGGCGCGAAGGCATCTACCTGTGCGGGTGTCAGCTGTGGGTTCAGTGCGGGCTGAGAGGCTGGGCACCTGCTGAACCGGCAGCTCCCTGGAACCTGCCTGGGAGGGTTCCCTGCACTGGCGCACGGCCCTGCTGAGGCCCACTTGTCCTGCCTCCCGGCCTCTCTCACACGCTTCCTGATCCTCTCTCTGACGCTGTCTCCATGTGGTGTGCCTCGCCTGTGCTGCCCCCCTTCTGGTTGCTTCTGCCAACACTGAGCAACACTTTCACCCACGCTGGCTGTCAGTGACCCCACACAACCGTGAGGTCACTCTCTGTAACTGGCAAGTCTTAGGAGCTTCTGTCCCAAAGACACTCATCATGTTTGTGTTAGACTAAGCTGCGCTCACTGACTCGTCAGCATCAGAAAGCATTAGACTTGGGAAAGGAGCCGGTTTTAGCAAACTGGCCTGTTTCGTGACTGACAGATAGGTTTTTATTATTTAATGTATCTCCCCTCTCTTAGGGTTTCAGTTTAGAAGGTTCCAAGGAGGGCCAGCCCCAGTGGCCTAGTGGTTCAGTTCAGTGAGCTCTGCCTTGGTTCCCGGGTGCAGACCTGCACCACCCTGTTAGCAGCCATGCTGTGCTGGCAGCCCACATAACTAAAAATAGAGGAAGATTGGCCTGGATGTTAGCTCAGGGCGAATCTTCCTCAGCAAAAAAAAAGTCCCAAGGAAGGGACTGTCGGAGCACTCAGTAATGATCTCACAAGCCATAACTGACAGTTTGTAGACCGATCGAGTGCCTTGTTTTGAAACCATCACTTAAAACTGTTCTGCTGTGAAATTTCAGTTGATCTCATGATTATGTCTAAAATTTGGAACCCCACTGCGTATTTTAATCTTTCTGGTTAGCTGGGCTTAGTTGCTTCATGATTTGTCTAAACCACAGCGAGTATCTGGAAACTTTGGTGAGAAGAAACGCCCGTCCGTGCTCATCGGTGGGTGCTGAGCGCAGGATCCCTGTCAGGAACCAGGTGCCTTCGTGTTCTCTGGCAGCCATGCTGCCCTCTGCCCACCGCACCCCTCCAGCCACTGTTCCCCTCTCACAGTAGGTCCTCGTCGTGACTGTCACATCAAGGGCTTGGCCACACTCCTCGCTGTCCATGTGTGTGACCAGCAGCTGTGTTGGCGCATTGCCCAGCCGGGAGCCGTTGAGTGTCCAGCCGCTGAGGAGGCCCTCTGTCCTTGGGATGAGGGCACGCTCTGCGAAGTCCCTCTCGGGCATGCAGACAGGGAGCCCGGCGTCTGGGCACTGGATGGGCAGCCCCAGCTCCAACAGCGAAACATCATTGTCCCCAGTCTCTTCCTCATACCTCATGTGCACATGGACGCTCTGCACCGCGATGGTCAGTGGGTCCCTGCTGGTTCTGGGGAAATCTGAAATAAGGAACAATTGCGGGTTTCTAAAGTCTGGCTTCAAGGTTGCAATAACAGTGAGAGACTGGTTTGTCAGTGAATGGGGAGGAGGCAGGGGCTGGGTGTGGTGGCCCGTGCCGTGGCCACATGCACTGATCTTCACTCATCCGTGATTCAAAGGCAGCTCACAGAATGAAGTGTTCCAGCTGATTCCCATGACCTCTCCCACACTCTTCTTTAAAAATCAAAATGAACTATTTTGGAGGGGGAATAAAATGCGGATTGGTGCAATGGTCAAAAAAGTAGGAAGAAATTATGAGGAACTTCAAGCAGATCACACTGGGCTGTTCAGAAGTAGTTTTTTAGGCTGACATTTTGTTGACTGAAAAATGTTTAAGATGAAGAGTAAAATCTATTTAAGATTCTTCAGAGTCATCCTAGAGCACTTTCATGGGTTACCATTGTGCCTTTGCGCCTCCCTGCAGGATAGAAATCATTGCCCGGTTTCCCAGATGGGAGCTCAGCACAATGGGTGGGCAGTGGGCCCAGTGGCACAGCCTGAGGTCTCAGTGGCTGAGGGGTCTGAACCCAGATCTTCTGACTTTCAGCCCGTTTTCTGTCTCCTGCACCATGCCTTCTCCATTTAAGTGTCAAATTATCTTTTCATCAGCAGTGATTTCCTGCTTAGACTAAGTATTACATTGCCTGCCTGCTGTGCCCAGACATTCCTCTAGGAGTTTTACGTGTGCTTTCTGATTTATAGATATCTCAGTAGTAATATGAAAGCTGAATTCATTTCTGTATTCCAATAGAAACAAAAATTCTAGGTTTTAAGTTTTCATTTCATTTTATACAGCATAGTTTTTATTTCCAATGCCATCTTATAAAAAATGGATGATAAAATACTTACTTGTTTTCACAGTAATATTTTTGTGTAATAGTGAACATTTTGCTGTTGTCAGTACAAAATTTTCCTGTATTATAACACCACCACAGAAGTCTTCTCCTTTGGAATTTGTTAGTTTAACCTTTAAAAATAAAAACAGAGAATAAATAGCTGGTGACAATTTGCAGGACTAGGGGCAGTGTAGTATGGTGGTTAAGAATATGGCTCCAAAGACAGAGCTGCGGAGGGAGTGCGAGGTCAGCTGCAGGTGGGGCGACAGTGACAAAGCAAAGATGCAGAGTGCACCCCGCAGCACCCCTAAGGAGAGAGAACCGTAGCTAATACGCCAACAAAGAAGAGAGAGTGGGATCATAAAAGTATACAAGTAAGCCAATGGAAGGCAGAAAAAGAAGAAAAATGGGAAAAGAGCAGATGGGAAAAATAGAAAACTAATAGTAAATTAATGGGTTTAAACCTAACTAAATAAACGTAAAAGCATCTAAATGCCCCAATTAAAACAGCAGGAATTTGTCAGATCAGATAAAATCAAAGGCAACTATCTACTGCCTATAAAACATACACTTTAAATATAAAAATATAAATCATTTAAAAATAGAAGACTGGAAAAGACATACCATGCTCACATTAATCAGTAGAAAGCTGCAGTATCTGTTAATAGCAGACGAGGGAAGTCTCAGAGCAGAGAATATGAGCGGGGCATAAAACGATAAAATGTGAGGTTATTGTGAGAATTAAATGGAAAAAAGCATGTACCCACATAGTACAGGTGCTGGCTCAAGAGATGTAATAAATTAATTATTACAATTTTCAGTAGCCTAATAAAATGGAAAATGCTGAGCAAAGTATTAAAGAGTTTTTCAAATTTAATGTAGCCTCATTTCTGGAAATCTTAAGTGTCTGTTAGTAAGAGCTGCCGTTCATTGACTCCCTGGGAAGGTCAGGTACGTTATTGTTAAGCCTAGGCAGCTGGTGTGCTACTCATTTTACAGGCGAAGCAAACCACGCCTGAGGGCAGGCGGCGTTCTCGGCGCTAGTCGGCTAGTCTCGCGGTCAAGCGCAGTGGAGCCCAGGGCCAATTTCTCATCTAGAAGGTAAGAAGCAAGTTCCAAGGGTAATTTTCAACTCTATATCCTACTAGGCTAGTTAATTATTCTCTTTTTCCAAGTTTTTTCTTTAAATACCATACCTTAGTTCAATTAATAACTTCAGAACTTTTTTATTGTACCATAGTAAAGATCTCATCGTATCAGCTTGCCCAAATCCATGTGTCTGCAAACGTGTCTGAGCTGTACCCGGAGAAGCTTGCCTCCCAGGTCGTGGCCCCTTGCCCCATGGAAGCCAGCACTAATTCAGATTCAAATGGCAGCTGCGGGTCCTGAGTGCACAGGGGGACTGAAGACAGCGCGCTTGGCAGAGCTGGAGCACCATCGTCATTCCTGAAGGCTAGGCCACACACAGTCACCCCTCCTTCAGCCCCCCTGAGGGGCCGACAGTGATGAGAAGAATGCTCCCGGGGTGTAGCCAGGTCATTCTGGGTATAAACAGGTGTTTACCTCCCCTCAGTCTCCGTTTGAGTCTGGAGGACCACAGGAGTCACTGAGCTCTGTCGGGTCCGTCCATCCAGGCCTCCATCCAGCGGCCAAATGATTCTGACGGCCAGACTGGCTTGTAAGTATCAGGGTGTTCCACACACGCACACAGCCCCTCCCCAAAGGAACCTCGTAAAGCTCTGCTGTCCGATACGGAAAGTCATGTGGTTACAGAGCATTTGCAATGTGACTGGTCCAAACTAGGATATGCTCCAAGGGTACAATACAGTCCAGATGTCAGAGATTTAGTATGAAGAAAACATGTAAATATCCCAATTTTTCATGTTCACTACGTGTTGAAATAATATTTGGATATATTGGGGTAAATAAAATACTTATCAAAATTCATTTCACCTGTCTTTACTTGTATTTATGTATTAAATTACATGCGTGGCTCACATTCTATCTCCATTGGCTAGGCTATTCTAAAGGGTGAGCCGCATTGAGTCCTGGGGTGCGAGGAACATGGAGACATAGGAAATCAAAACCCATACTGGTGGCACAAACCATAATAATAAAAATGATACCTATTTTGTGGAGTTACTAAAAAAGCAAGAAAAGAATAAAATACTAGTCAAAATAGCAGATGGGCCTACCATGGGGTGCCAGAAATAATTTTGGAGGGGGCTAAAAATAGTCACTTTGTGTATTGCCAAGTTAAATGTGAATGTTTAAATGCCAAGAGTAACTATTAAATAAATAGAAATGGAGTGTGTAACTCCCAAACCAGTGAAAGGGGACAGGAAAATAACAGAAACGAATGCCAAAGACGAGACACCTCCTGGCCCAGGAATGGAGCTGGCATCCCGAAGGTGGGTGAGTGGAGCCCATGCCCCCACCTCTCAGGGTCCCTTGGACCCGAGTCAACCCACCCAGCCCCCAGGCACTGCAAGGAGACGCTGTGGCTTCAGGATGCTGAGGTTCTGGGAGAAATGACATTGGGAACAGTGGTTGACTCCAGAGAGATGTCCTGGGTGGCTGTAAATAAAACTATACATTTTGATTTGGTGCAAATGATGAGCACAGCTGAAGTTGTGACTTCAGCGTGAGCAAGTGCTCTGCAGCGTGGGGTCAAGATGAGCACCTCAGTCACGGCGCCCCTCTGACTTGGTCATTGCGCTTCTGCGTGGCAAAGAAGATGGAAATGGCAAATAAGGTGAAGTTGGTAACAAAAAGTGAGAACCCATTTATAAAGTGTTTGTTACCTGCCACGGGAAAACCTGAAGACTCTGCGTGCTGTTTGGTGGCCTCGCGACGCTCTCAGATTTCAGGATTCCACAGGCACACTTCTCTTCATTTGTGGTGACAACAAGAGAAGAAGAGTCAGTGCCTTCCAAGTCACACGTCAGACGTCATGCATGGTGCTAACTGCTCAAACCCTAGTCCTCAATGCTGATGATCTTATGGTGGGGACTGACAGCAACTCACGTAGGCGCAGAGCAGAGTGAAGTCACCCTCTCGGTGCTTCTGGTTTAGCTCAGATGCTGTGACGACCCGAGCAAGCTCCAGCGGGGGGCAAGGACGCTGGCTGAGTCACAGCCACTCCTCATCGCAAACGAAGTGGCCTTTCGAACGCTCTCGTGGGAGAAGGAGGGGGATGTGGGACGGAGCCGAAAGGGTGGGAAGAGAGAGACCAGCACCCATTTCTCACCTGAGAACTCACCGTGTGGGATGCACGATTTGCGGTCCCGGCCCAGTTTATACCCCTTCGCACAGCTGCACCTGTAGGACTCGTGTCCCGGGTGGCAAAAATGTTGACACCCATCAGTCCTCAGTGGGTGACATTCATTTTTAGCTGAAAGGGAAAACAATGCTAACATGGAAATAGCATCGTTTTAAATTTCCTTGCACGTGGGGCTCTGGTTTTTCAGTCCAGGTGTCATTCTCTTCAGGTCATTGGCTCCTCACACAAGCATTTCCCACGCTTCCGTATCAGGAATGTGCGTGGAGAAAGCAAAGGTTCAGTAAGTGACAGCCCTGGTATTTGTCCCCAGAAAATGTCACTTAGTCCTAGAAGAATCTGCAAACGTACTGCAAGGTGTCTGTCGGTCTTCCTAGCCTGTGTGCTCTCTCGTGTCAGCTGTCACTTCCTGCTGCAGTAGCTATGCCCTTTACGTGGCTCCCTCGTGGGATGTGGGACAGGAGGGGGTCTAGTGGGACCCCGTGTGATGGTTGAGCAGCGGGGATGGGGGCAGGGACACATGCAGGTCAAGGTCCAAACCTTGCTTTGGCATGTGTTAAATTTGGGCTGTCTGCAAAACATCATCACATGGACTCTCGGGAGGCAGCTGGAGCAGAACTTTGAACTTGGGAGGAGAGATCTGGGCTGGAAATAATACTTTTCTCCAGAAAATTGGCTCTGCATTGACCAGAAACATTAAAAGGATTAAGTGAATTTATTTCCATATCTGGTAATTATTGATAGGAAATTGGTTTCTCTCCACCCCCACAAATACATTTTGCACTTATTTATTTGTATTTAAGGAATTGTGATCCATGAAGCTGTAAGTCTCAGCCGTGGGAACGTCTCGCACCCATGCCTGGCTCAGAGTGCCTGCACGAGATTCCCCCTCACAGACCAGCCCCCAGACCCCACCCCCAGCCCGGGAACAGATGGGTGCATTATGAATGGTTGAGGTGCTGGTGGGTTGGGAAGAAGAGGAAGAGACCCTATGGGGAGGAAACGATATGGAGGCGTGTTGGGGGCAGGAGGCCCTCAGAACACGTGGTTCCAGTGGAGAATTGGCCTGGACTCGCGTCCCCACGGGCCCTGTGGTGCCCACCCCAGAGCCCGCCTCACCGAAGGCGCAGTCCCTGCCCTCGTAGCCGGGGGCGCAGGTGCAGGTATAGCTGCGGATGCTGTCCTGGCAGGACCCATTGTTGCGGCAGGGCTGGGAGGTGCACGGGGAGCCACCTGCCGAGAGGGACTTCTGTCACCCGCGCTCTCCCAACACCCCTGGCCCCTCTGACCAGGACACCAGGAGGCTGGAGCAGGCTGCCAAGGCCCCACATGTGTCCCCTGGGCCCCATCAGCATACGTGTGCCCACGAGGCCCGTCTTGGTCCCCTTCCTCGACCTCCTCCTTTCCTGGCTGAGTGACCACTGGGACTGTCGCTGGTGCCACAGCTCTGCTCCTAGCTCCCCTCACCCCCTGTCAGCCCCTCGGTCGCGTGGTCCCTGGGCACTCCTCCCAGCATCCCCCGAGCCTTGGTGTATGTAGCCAGGTGCTGAGCCTGCAGAAGGAGGCCCTAGGGACCCCCGAGGCCATGTGGATGAGAGGAGCCGCTCAGGCTGGGGGACCCTCCCGCCTCTGCCACCCAAGCCGCCAGAGGAGCTTTGCCCTGATCCAGACCCTTCCCTTGCCAAGGGGTCCAGGAACTGAAGGTTTGAAATCTGGAATCCACTGGCCGCCAAGCCAACTGCATTCCCAGATCTCAAGGGAAAGGAACAGGAAGGAATCCTGGAGAGATGAGGAGAGCCACTCACCCATGTACCTTGTCCAGAATTCACCCTGTGAAATTAAAACAAAAGTGTTACCAATGGGACAGCAGTTTTTCTATATTTTCTCCTGTAGGTGGACTTGAAGATAAGAAAAGGTTGATTTTAGCTACTTATTAGGAAAATACTGATTGAAACAAAGAATGCAAATTCTTGACTTAATGTCCTCGTCAGTGTATGTGTAACAGATGCTGTTGAGTCCGTATTCACTGTCACCTGTTTCAGGAAGGGGAGCCGGTGTGTGACGAGGCACAGACAGCACGGCCGTGCCCCCAGGCCTTTCCGTCCTCGGGCGTGGGGGGGTCAGCCTGCGAGTCCTCTGTGCACAGGCCTGATGTGGACACGAGGAGCGTGCACCACCTGTCTTCCTTATAAGCCAATTAAACGACGACTGAAACTTAAAAGTGTGTGTCGGGGGGATTCGTGGGGGTGGGGTATCTAAAATTAGCAGAATTACTCAGACTCCAAGCCTAGAAAGTAAACCTGTAAGTAATTGTATCCCCCTGTCACGCCTGGACCTGTAATGGCCTGAGTGATGTCGCAAGAACATGATCAAGCACGCAATTTTCCCTTCCAGGAAGTTTGAATTTCTCCTGGTTTTATCCAAGTTTATGGTCTACTTCAAAGGAGTGCTCTTATATATGGATATTTAAGAAACTATAGAGAAACAGGTCAATATTTTATTCAGAATCAACTTTAAATATTGCTACTTTTATATGTAAAACTGGGAAATCTTTATTAAATATTTTACTATTCTGAATACTTACACACAGATATTCGGCCCATCAGGTTTGACTCACTTCTCTGTCTTCTGATAAGTGTAAGAGTAATTAAGAAGGGCACATTCTTACCTGCGTTATTTAGAGTTTGCTTGTAGTCACTTTTAGCCCGAGTTCTAGATTGCGAGAGCTTTCCTTACTATGCCGGCAGGATAGGGAGGAATTTTGTTTCTTAAGCATTTGTTGATACATTGTAACAACTAGGTCTCTATTTAAAATAGCGGCTTCTATCACGGTCCTGACCAGCTGAGTGGGGTCTGGGATGTTCGTAAATCTGGTCGGTGTATTGGGCTGCTGGGTTTCGGGTATGGGGCTGGGTTCCCGCCTCGTCCCCACCTACAACTGTGGAAAGCTTTCCTCTTCTCTGCCTGTTCCCTCATCTGTAAAGTGGGCGCTGAGTCCCCGTCTCGGGGAGGAAACAGGCTCCCTAATTTAGCTTCGTCCCTGAGAGACGGTGCTCTCTGAGGCGCGGAGTTCGGGGCTAAGTTCGCGGTGGGGAGCACATACCGTGGTGGCGTCGTTTTCAAAGACTTCTCTTGCTTCTTCATAGACGCAGATTTCTTCATAACATTCTTTTTCCAAATTCCCCTCAAAGAGCTCTTCCAGAAGATACGAGCCAGCACGCTTCCATCTCGCCAGGACTGTATTTGCTTTCGAGGCGGAAAGAAATACTGCATGGCAGGGAAAGAACGCAGATCCCGTCAGTGGGCATGGACTCACCCAAGAACTGCGACACCTAGAAACAGCCCCCCCACGAAGCAGCCGCCCACCTGAGGGCTCCGCGGCGGGAACGGCGAGGGGGACCAGGACGAGGAGCAGCGGGACGCAGCTCGCCATTCTGCCGCGCGGACAGGTCTGCAAACACGGGGCCAAAGTCCACGCGAGGCTCAGCACAGGGGCTGCGTGCAGCGACCCCCAGCCCTGAAACGGGGCTCCAGGCGGGACGCTGAGGCCGAAAACGAACTCCTCGGAAAGGAGGACACAGAGCTGGGAGGGCTCTAAACACGGGCTTCAGGCTTGCATTTCTCTGTTCAAGGCAAAGAGAGGGAAGAAAAGGCAGACGAATGAAAAGCCCAGGCCAAGAGGGCCTTGCTGAGATACATGGGGGACGCTGGGGATGTCCTGGGAGTGCAGGCAGGAAGGAGGGGGGTGACAGACCGAGGGGGCGGGGGCGGGGGAGAGAGAGAGAACAGGCCCAGCCGGCGCTTTGGTGGGGTCCTCACAGGCCAGGGTCCTGGGCCTGGGGGTCCAGCGGGAGCAAGACAGCTGCCTAGGGCTCATCCCAGGCGTGCGGGGAACACACTGGAAGGAGGGAGAGGGGAGGGAGAAAGGATCTCACACTCTGCTGTCAAGAAAAGGAGAGCAGATGAGGGGTACAGAGCGATGGGGTCTGTTTCAGACAAGCCGGTCACAGAGGCTCCCTTTGGGGCTGAGGAGGACTCTTAGGGCACAGAGAGGGAGGGAGGGCCAGCTGCCAGGAGCAGAGCAAGGAGCCCAGCGTGGCAGGAAGGCGTCCACAGGCGGTGGACCTGAGGTCAGAGAGAGACCCAGTCTACCATGGTGCAGGTCAGGAGCGTAAAGGGCAAGAGAGTTGGCCACAACACTGGGGCCTCACCCGCCCCCGAGTAAGACCGGCACGGCCAGGTTTCCTGCAGCACCACGTGCCACATGAGGAGGGGACCCAGGGGACATTCCTAAGGACCAAGTGTGTCCTTGAGCCCGATAATCACGCTCAGCACCAGGAGGCAATGAATTCTCTGGACCCCGCCTGAGGGCACAGCAAACTCACACCCCACCCTCCTGATCCCACACGCACGGGGCCAGTCAGCACAGAGCATCGACTGGGGGAGGCCCCCTTTCTGTCTGTGTCTCTCTGTCTCTCTCCTCTTCTCCTCTCCCCGCACCCTCTACATCAGGGAATCCCCACATAAGTGGCATCGGATGGAGCCCCTGCTGCGCCCTTTCCCACTGCATCCTGTCGGTGTCCTTCAGTCTCACATGACGCAGTTCCCCAGCTGTTTGGTCCTTCCGACACTGACATTTTTGGAGCGTCCAGGCCTCCCTCAGCTGATGGGCCCGACTGGCCTCTCCCAGTTAGGCTCAGGGCGAACCCAGTTTTGGGCAGGAGCCCTGCATGGCCACCGTGTCCTCCCAGTGCGCCCTCGTCAGTGACATCATGTTCGGTCACTAGGACGACGTGCCCTCCATGTCTCGCCATTATAGAGCTGCCCTGTCCTGTTTGTAATAAAGCCTTCTCTAGGGCGATGCTCCGAGGCTGTGGGAGTATCTCATTTCCCGACGACTTTCCAGCCGAGTGCTGTGTTCCTGCATGGCCTGCCTCCATCACTGACCCCTTTGGGGCTGGGGCCGCAGGCTCCTTCAGTTCCTGTCTGACGGCTCCAGCCCAGGGGATGGGGAGCAGCCAGCCCACCCACCGTGGCCCATCCGCTGCTGCGCCGTGCAGCCACTGGCTTTGCACTCCACGCCCTTCGTCCTGCAGGCAGGGCCTCGGGACGGGCCAGACCCTCCAGGGAGCCCTCCCTGATAGGCCATCACCATGTCCCCCTCCCTTGGGAAAGGAGGGTGCTGGTGTGGCGAGCAGTGCCGGGGGACATGGGTCTTGTCCTGGTACCGCAGCCTCGCCCTTGCTTTCTCCTGCTCTCTAGAGCCTCACCTCTGCCCACCTGCTGCTCTCTGCCCTCAGGGCCTCGCCTTCCACACCAGGCACCCCTCCAATGACTCCCCTCAGGGACGCTCTGGTGGCACAGAACAGAACGTCCCCCAAGGCAGAACTTAGTTTAGAGCAGCATGTAGCGGAGGCGATTTGTTAGGTCCGTTTCCCACGAAGACAGTGATACTCAGAGAGGGAGGTAAGTTGTCCGGGGCACACAGCAAGGAATAGAGCTGGGCGGAACCCGCCGTGAGTCGGGCCCAGCACCCTCCCTGCATGTCCAAGTTCTCCCACTCTGGAAGCTCCCTGAACTCACTCCTTCTGGATGGGAAGCAAGCAGGCCCATCAGGCGAGGGGGCCCCGGCTGCCCTTTGCTCTGCTGGGCCTCAGTTTCCCTTCCTCCCTAGTAGATACAGGAACTCATAGCGGCCAACAGTGAGAGGTACAGGTGGTAACAGCAAAGGTGGGTTTGTGAGTCTCTCCCCAGAGCACCCTCTGGACCCCAAACAACCTTCCATCTCCAGGACCAGAAGCCCGAGTCCGGGGTTTGCCTCCGGACAGAGACCACTCAGCTGCATGGGAAACCCTCAACCTGACCACGCACTGTCTGAGGCTGCTTCCCTGGCAGTGGCCCCTGCGGGGGTGTCAAGGCAGGTCCGCGGGGGATGGCACCCTCAGCCGCGCCTGGAAACTGCGGACCGGCTCACATAGATTTTCCTAACCTCACAGTAGCTCCTGTTTACAAAACACTCTGTCTAGCTTGTGACATTTCGGGAGTTTTTGTCCTGGGACTTTGAAACTTTGCTTAGTGAAGTTTCGCAAAATGCAAACTGTGAAAGGACGTTTGGAAAACGCACTGGCAGCTCTGGTCTGACGTGACCTTTCTCGTGTTCTAAAAGCCCGTTTGGTCTTTGTGACCTTTGAAGTCGAGGGCCTGGAGCGGGCACGGACCGGGACGGGGAAGGACTTGGCATTCAGATGTGACCCATTCGAGGACAGAGGGGCCCTCCACAGCCCCCACCAGCACACCCAGCACATGTGGGGTCCCCTGAGGAGCTGGAGAAACTTCCGGGGCCCACACTCACCCCGGAGACTCTGATTTAAGTGCTCTGGCTGTGGCCTGAGCCCCCCAGGGTCCCAACACACAGTCAGGGTGGAAACCCCTGGGCGGGGGACAGTCGGCGCCTGGTGAGTGGGTACGCGGCTTAGGAGAGTTTTCTAAGCGCCTAGGGGGCCCCTGGAGGACACATTTCCACGGCTCTCTCAGTCCCGGGGGTGAATGGGCACCGGGGGAAGCTGTCAGCACACAGGGGGACCCCACCCGACCCCAGGGGGAGGCCACCGGTCGTGGGTGGGCCCTGATCCCTGCCTCACCTCCTCTCTGTGCTCCCAAACCTTGGTCATTTATTCTCAAGTGTTCTGAGCGTGGGGCCAAGAGGGCAGTTAAGGGCAATCAAAAAGAGAAGAACGCACTATGAGCAGATTCGGCCCATCTCAGTTCTGAGCAGAGGAGTCACCCCGGGGAGCCTAGACTCCAGTCCTATAAAGTACAGAATTCCCTGAAGACGGCTCCCAACTGCTCCAAACGAAAGTTGCATTTCTCACTTCAGCGGAGCAAGAAGACAGCGGGAGTGGGAAGCAACACAGAGCGGATCACTGCAGACAGGAGACCGACGGCAGGACTCAGCCTGCCCAGAACAAGTGCTACGACAAAACGAGACGCCAGCGGCTGCCAGCAGGTCTTGGGGTGGAATGACTTTAATGGGGGTGAGGCACAGGGGCTGCCCGCTCTGCCTGGGCCCCGCCCCTGGCTTTCATGGACCTATCGATCCACTTAAGGAAGCTGGTGACCTTGGTGTAGACCCCGTACTTCCCTTTGCGTGCACATCCTTCTCCCCAGCTGACGATGCCAGTGACGAAATAGGTGTCCTTGAAGCGGGTGACGTGGGGACCCCCACTGTCCCCCTGGCAGGCGTCCTCTGGGTTTGAGTCGTAGCCGGCGCAGAACATGTTCTGGGTGATGACAAAGCTGCTGGACAGCTTGCACGTGTTCCTGTCCACGTAGGGCACCTCCAGCATCTTGAGGGTGGCGGAGGGGCGGCCCTTCTCGTGGGTGCGCCCGAAGCCACTCACGATGCCCGACTTCTGTGTCATGAGCGTGGACTCGGCCCAGTCCTTCTCGGGCAGGCAGGCGGGTGCCACGTTCATGCGGAAGGTGATGGGCGTCTTCAGCTTGACCACAGCGATGTCGAAGTCGTAGGTCTCCCTGATGAACTTGTTGTGCTTGATGATCATCTCCACCTCGTGCGCCATCTCGTTGCCCTCCTCCTCCTCCGTGTTCCGATCACCTGGGAGACGGTGAGGACACGGCGAGGACACGGCCATGTCAGCCCAGCATGGCCGAGCACTTACGTGTGGGTTACTTTTTAAAGTTGTTAGTGTGTTTTCTAATTAAAAAATGGTATATGGTCACTAGAAAATTGGAAAAATATAAGAAAGCGTAAAAAGGTACTCAGTGCTCAGATTGCTGAAGAGGGGGCTCTGGGAGCCTTGCCTGAGCAGACCCTGAGAGGAGGCACATGCCTGGGCGTGAACTCCAAGCATCAGGGGGGACCACACAGGAGAAGGGCTGGGCTGGCCCTAGGAAGGCTGCCCCCCCCCCGCCCTCCCCCGTCTTCCTCTGTGAAACAGCCCCCCCCAGGATTTTGGTAGTTTAACTAGTGTTTCCAACAGACTTGATCAATTCTAATGGTCTCTGAAAATAAGGAAGTGACAGTGGGCCCTGGAGGGGGGCCGAGGGGTGTGGGCGCCACTTACCTACCCTCACCTTGAATCTCCTGGTTTGGTGGAGACAGTGAGCCGCGGTGAGGATATAGTACTCGTTCAGGATGGTGCCTCCACAGAACCCCTCGTTTTCCTCGTTGATGAGCAGAGCCTGCAACGAGAGCGCCAGAGCCCACAAGGTTGGTCTGACTTCCTGAGAGGAGGAATCTGACAGTCTCTAGCTCCAGCCTTCCTCCCCAGCCCCTGACCCCTTTCCCCACGGAAGAACTTGTGGCCTCTTCAGGCTGGAACGTGAGGCCCAAGCCAGTGCACCCACAGTGCCCACCTGACACTCGGGCTGCTGCCCATTGGCCAGTCCTGCAGATTTCCCAACCAGGGTGACTGTGCCCAGGCCTGCACGTCCCACCCACTGGTCCAACCGGCACATTCTCCAAGAGCTGGTTCAGGGGGCACCCCATGGCACCTTCCCAGCTCCTTGCCACCCACTCCCCGGATTTCGTGGCACAAGTCCGGGCAGCACCTTCACATCGTCTGGTCTTTGCTTCACAGGTCAGGCAAGTGAGCGACTGTTCATTTACTCAACAGACTGCCGCTGAGGCCCTGCTGAGCGCCAGTGCTGGTCACAGCGGGTGGTCCCACCCCGCTTCACCATCTCTCCGCCTGGACTCCAGGGGCTAGTCTCCTCCTTCTCCTCACTCTGTC